AAAAAAAAAAAAAAAAAAAAGTATAAAAAAAATAGAATTGAGGATCAGAATTTTAGGAGCTTGCCCATGGTCACATGGCCCTACTGGCTCCAGACTATCTCAGTTCTGGTCCCAGACATGGCCTGTGCCGCCACTGACCCGTCCAGCTGTCCCTCCAGCTGTCCCTCCACCTCCCTCCCCCTACCCAGGGCTCCTCCTGCTTCAGATCCTGCCAACTAGCTGCCCGTTGCCTGGTCCCCAATCCCTGGGCTCTCGTGGCCTGGAGCCTGGGTGCAGAGCTAGACCAGAGGGGCCTGGAGAACCCTCAAGGCCACACAGCTGCTGACCTGTCCTTCCAAGCCCTCGGCCACCCATGCTGAGTCCAGCTCCTAGTCAGGACAATGGCCCTCGGCATGACCTAAGTCCCTCCCTTTTCAGTGCTTTTGTCAAAAAATAACACATGCAGGCACTGTGCCTGGCACCGGGATTACAGGTCACGCAGTACCTATGAGGCTCACGTTCTGCTAGGAGAGAAATGACTGACACAGCAACACTGTCCCGCCAGGTGGTGGGTGGGGAACACGAGGACGGAGCCTGTGTGGGCAAGTGGGCAGCAGGAGGGGCAGGAGCAGTTGCTGACGTGGCCCCGGCCTGGAGGGGAGGCCCAGGGTCGGGTCATGCAGCCCCGCGTGGACACGCACAGTCCCGGCTGTGGGAGGTATGGCGGGGAGCCCTCACCTGCTCTTGGTTTCCCCCTGCAGGAGCCTGGGTCCAAGTGTCCCCATCACCTGAGCTCCGGGAGGGCCAGGCCGTGGTCCTGAGCTGCCAGGTACCCACAGGAGTCCCTGAAGGCACCTCATACCGCTGGTATCGGGATGGCCAGCCCCTCCAGGAGCCGACCTCAGCCATGCTCCGCTTTGCGGCCATAACTTTGGCACAAGCTGGGGCCTACCACTGCCAAGCCCAGGCCCCAGGCTTGGCCACCACGAGCCTGGCCGCCCCCGTCAGCCTCCACGTGTCCTGTAAGAGCTTTTATCCCGTCCACCTGTGGGGGAGGGAATGCAGGCCCCTGGTCCTGGACTCTGCCCCGTGACAGAGCCTTGGATTAGGGACCCCCCGGCTGGGCCCTGACCACTCCCCGCCCCATGTAGACGCCCCACGCCAGGCCACACTTACCGCCCTGATGGACACAGGCCCTGGGCGCCTGGGCCTCCTCCTGTGCCGTGTGGACAGCGACCCTCCAGCCCAGCTGCAGCTGACCCACGGGGACCACCTCGTGGCCTCCACCCTACAAGGTGTGGGGGAACTTGCAGGCAGCTCTCCCCGGCTGCAGGTGGCTGTGGCCCCCAACACACTGCGCCTGGAGATCCACAAGGCGGTGCTGGAGGATGAGGGCGTCTACACCTGCGAGGCCACCAACATGCTGGGCAACGCCTCTGCCTCGGCCGACTTCAATGCCCAGGGTGAGAGAGAGTGTGTGTGTGTATGTGCAAGTGTCTCCTTTAAGAGAGGGGAGGAGGTGGGAGAGGGTTCTAGAAGCTTGGGAGCATGAGGATAGTGTCCATTCCCACCCTTCTAAGGGCAGCGGTCTCCAGACTTGGGTTTCATGGAAGGGCCTTTTTTAAACACAGAATTTTACATGCGTGCCCAGTGGATAAAACTAAACAGAAAGGGGGTCTCAAAGAGAAACCACAGCAGGGCAGGGGAGGCCTGTGTTCTCCCCACTTGCCGCCACCAGGGTCAGGAAGGGGCTCAAGGTGCGCCAGAGCTCCGCAGCACTCCACCTGGGACCACTCAAGAGATAATGAGCATCTTCCCAAGCTCAACCCCCGAGCCCTGTGCCCAGGTGGGCCGCCTGAGGCTCACGGCGGCCAAGGGGCTCCCCAGCCGTAGCGACAGCGCACCGCGTGGAGACAGGCGGCTGTACCCAGCCTCAGGCCCTCGCCGGTGCCCTCCCTCCCCCCAGCGGTGAGTGTGCAGGTGTGGCCTGGGGCCACCGTGCAGGAAGGACAGCTGGTGAACCTGACCTGCCTTGTATGGACCACCCGCCTGGCCCAGCTCACCTACACGTGGGACCAGGATGGGCAGCAGCGCCCGGGTGCCCGCTCCATCCTCCTGCCCAACGTCACAGTCACAGATGCTGCCTCCTACCGCTGTGGCGTAGGGCTCCCTGGCCAGGCACCCCACCTCTCCAGATCTGTCACCCTGGACGTGCTCTGTGAGTTTCATTGGATGCAGAGTGGGACAATGACAGGAGCCCACAGGGATCAGGACATGGCCAGAGCCCCATGGGTGTCCAGCTGGGGAATTCAGTCCCCAGCTGGCCAGCAGAGCATGGGATAAGGGGCATTAGAGTGGGGGAACCCTGGGGATAAACCCTCTCCAGGCAGAGGAGCAGTGCCCCAGATTGAGCGATTGGGGGCCCTTGAGGTGGGAGCCAGGGCCCTCCTGGGTTCGAATGCCACCTGCAGCTGGCCTTCTCTAGGCCTCCGGACTCCTGTATGCCTCTCGTGCCCCTGCAGACGCTCCCCGCAACCTGCGCCTGACCTATCTCCTGGAGAGCCGTGGCGGGCAGCTGGCCCTGGTACTGTGCACTGTGGACAGCCGTCCGCCTGCCCAGCTGGCCCTCAGCCGTGCCGGCCGCCTCCTGGCCTCCTCGACTACAGCATCTGTCCCCAACACCCTGCGCCTGGAGCTGCGGGAGCCACAGCTCAGCGACGAGGGTCTCTACAGCTGCTCCGCCCGCAGCCCTTTGGGCCAGGCCAACACGTCCCTGGAGCTGAGGCTGGAGGGTGAGGCAGGGCCCAGGCCAAGCGCACAGGGGTGGGAACCAGCCATGGTGTCTGGCGGGTCCCAACCGACCCTTGCCTCCTTGGCACAGGCGTGCGAGTGATCCTGGCTCCATCGGCTACTGTCCCCGAGGGAGACCCCATCACAGTGACCTGCGAGGACCCCGCTGCCCACCCACCCACCCTCTACGCCTGGTACCACAACGGCCGTTGGCTGCAGGAAGGGCCCGCTGCCTCGCTCTCGTTCCCAGCGGCCACACGGGCTCACGCAGGCGCCTACTTCTGCCAGGTGCAGGACGCACAGGGCACCCGCAGCTCCCGGCCTGCTGCTCTGCAAGTCCTCTGTGAGCAGGGGGTCCTCGTCCGCTGCCTGGGATGAGGGGGGTGGAGGGTGCTTCTGGGCCCTGGTGGGGGCAGGCCCAGGGCTACAGCGGGCCCAGGAACGGGCACGTGGGGAAAGAAGGACATAGGCGCTGAGGAAAGAGACCCATGGCCCTACACACCATGCCTGGGGGACTCTGCCCACAGGACTCCTGAGCAAGTGTCACTTCTAGGAAGTGGCCATTTGTCCAGAGGCTTCAGCCTTGCCAACATCGGGGCACCCAGGTGGGCAGTACAGGGCACCCAGGCAAGGCCCCCATCTGTTCCTGCCTTGCCCCCAGATGCCCCTCGGGATGCTGTCCTGTCCTCCTTCCGGGACTCGAGGACCAGGCCCAGGGTCGTGGTACAATGCACTGTGGACAGCGAGCCACCTGCTGAGCTGACCCTGTCTCGAAATGGCAAGGTGCTGGCCACCAACTACGGGGTCCACAGCTCTGCGTCGGAGACAGGCCACGTCCGGGTGGCCCGCAACGCCCTGCAGTTGCAGGTGCAAGATGTGCCCACGGGTGATGACGACACCTATGTTTGCACAGCCCGAAACTTGCTGGGCTCGGTGAGCACCAGTGGGCGGCTGCAGGTGGAAGGTGAGCGGGAGAGAGGGGAGGAGAAGGGGGCTCAGGTTTGGGGTTCAGCTGCTGTGGGCCGGAGCCCATGTGAGGGGCTGGGGCTCCCACTAGAGGGACAACCCTGCCTTGCAAAGCCTAATCAGATGGAGGAGGCGAGCTCCCGCCACAGTGGGTGGCCCAGCCTGAGGGGGCAGATGCAGACTTGCCTTTGGAGATCTTCCTAGGGGGCAGGGGAGGTGTTGCAGTGCCCAAGGACAGCTTGGGTGGAGGGGAGACATAGCCCTGTCCCCACAGAGCTCAGTCTGGGGGTGGGGGCACAGGCCTGCCCTGGGGAAGCCTGGGGTGGGGAGAGAGACACAGCCCTGCCCTCAGGGAGCCCAGTCTGCAGGCAAGACAGCCACATCCGTCAGGAAGCCTGGTGGACAAGGGAAGTGCAGCCCTGTCCTGAGCCCTCAGTGCAAGGATGAGACAGCCCTACTCTTAGGATCAGTCTGGGGGGGACACACTGCTCCACCTTGGAAGTCCCAAGTCAGTTGGAGGCCTTCCCGCATGTGCAGAGCCCACTCAGAGGTCCCGCCCAGAGGCTCCGGCTCCCCAGGCCTGCAGATCCCTAACCCCCTCCCCGTCCTCTGCCCACAGGTGTTCGTGTGGTGGCGGAGCCAGGCCTGGACGTGCCTGAGGGCACAGCACTGAACCTGAGCTGCCGCCTCCTTGGTGGCCCCGGGCCCATGGGCAACTCCACCTTTGCATGGTTCCTGAATGGCCGGCGACTGCACGCGGAGCCTGTGCCCACACTCGCCTTCACCCACGTGGCCCGGGCCCAAGCAGGGGTATACCACTGCCGGGCTGAGCTCCCCACTGGGGCTGCCGCCTCTGCTCCAGTCATGCTCCGTGTGCTCTGTGAGTGCGAAGCCCCTGCCTCAGTCTCCCCACATCTCACATGCCCACCTCAGGGCTTCCTCCTCTCTGTCTGCAAACAGTGAGAACTTCACAGGTAGGGAGCCCTGGATTGGAAGCCTGACACTCCCACTGACTGGTTGTGTATCTTATACTTCTGTGCCTTGGTTTCTTCTGTAAAATGCCAACTACATCAGTCCCCTCATCTTTCAAGGAGTGTAGGTAATGCAGCATGCTGAGGCCAGGCATACCTGTAATCCCAGCACTTTGGGAAGCTGAGGCATGAAGATCACTTGAGGCCAGGAGTTCAAGACCAGCCTGGGCAACATAGCAAGACCCTGTCTCAAAAAAAATAAAATAAAATTAGCTGGGTGTGGTTGTGCCCACCTGTAGTCTCAACTACTTGAGTGGCTGAGGCAGGAGGATTGCTTGGGCTCAGGCATTCGACATTGCGGTGAGCTATAATCTTGCCAGTGCATTCCAGCCCGGGCAACAGAGTGAGACCCTGTCTCTAGAAAAAACAAAACAAAAGCAAGCTGAGTGCCTAGCACAGTAGCACAGTCTTGGTCTCTCACCCTAATCTTCACCAGGGCCCACTCTGTATCAGTCAGCTATTACTACATGACAAGCCACCCTAGACGTTAGTGCCTCAAACAACAGCCATGTTATTTGCTCACAATTCTGTGGGTCAGTAATGTGGGCTGGGCTCAGCTGGGCAGTTCTTCTGCTGGTCTCACCTCATGAGGTTGCAATTGTCCAGTGGCTCAACTGAGGCTAGAAGGTCTCAGAGGGCCTCACCCTCGTGGCTGGTGGTTGGGCAATGCATGCACAGAAGGTTGGCATGGGCTTCCCATGTGGTTGTATCCCAAGAGCAGAGGAGAAGCTGCAGTGTCTCTTGAGGTCTAGCTCTGAAGTCACACAATATCACTTCTTTCTTCAATTGGTCAAAGTGAGTCACAGCTTGATTCAAGGAGTGAGGAGATAGGCCCCACCTCTTAACGGGAGGAGCAGCAAAGTCACCGTGCCTGGGTACAGGGAAGGAAGAGTTTGTGGTGGTTTTTTTGCAATCACCATACTCCCTTCCTCCCCACAGACCCTCCCAAGACGCCCACCATGACGGTCTTTGTGGAGCCTGAGGGAGGCCTCCAGGGAATCCTGGACTGCCGAGTGGACAGCGAGCCCCTTTCCAGCCTGACCCTCCACCTTGGCAGTCGGCTGGTGGCCTCCAGCCAGCCCCAAGGCGCCCCTGCAGAGCCCCACATCCATGTCTCTGCCTCCCCCAATGCGCTGAGGGTGGACATCGAGGAGCTGAGGGCCAGTGACCAGGGGGAATACGTGTGCTCTGCCTCCAATGCCCTGGGCTCTGCCTCTGCCTCCACCTACTTTGGGGCCAGAGGTGAGGGGAGGGGGCTCCATCTCCCAGGCCACTCTGCACAAAAGCCCAGCTCTCGAGCCCAGAGGCTTCCTTCCCTGAGTCCTTTCTGCTGCAGTGCAGCTTGTCTGTCTAGTCTAAACTGATCTCGTGGAGCTCCCTCGAGTGGCGGTGGGGGACTTCAGAGATAAAGTGAGAGAATAGAAGGTTTCTGCCTGGGTGGGTCACCTGGGAGGCTGCACCAGGGCAGGAAGCCGGGGCTTCCCCTGAGCCCACCTCTGCATTCCAGCTCTGCACCGCCTGCACCTGCTGCAGCAGCTGCTCTGGGTCCTGGGGCTGCTGGTGGGTGCCCTGTTCCTGCTGTTGGGCCTGGGCGCCTGCTACACCTGGAGGTGAGTCTAGAGCTGGGGGTGGGCCAGGCCACCTCATCCTCCCCCCTTCTCCCCCAACATGCCCCAACCTCCCTTAGGAGAACCTCCCTCCTACCAAGTTCACAGGCTGCATACTTCCCAGCCCACCCCTTCCAAATTTGTGAATCCCTTCTAGAATCGTCTCTAAATCCACCTTGCTGTAGTTTTCTTCTTTTCTTCTCTCTGCCCTGTGCTGAAGAAAGGGTTGGGGAGGAAGGAGGAGAAAGTACCCCAGTCTCCCATGCTCTATCAGGTGGTGGGGAGGGGAGAGGCTGAGTCTGCTCTCACCCTTGCAGAAGGAGGCGTTTTCACAAGCTGAGCACGGGCGAGAATTCGGTGGAGATGGCTTCTCAGAAAGAGACCACACAGGTATCTTCTGCAGATGTCCACCTGGTGGGCAGGGTTCCGAGTCCCAGTTCCAGCCACGCCCACAACCACCAATCCCCTTGGGACTCTACCTAAAGCTGGGGGCCAGGGGGACTGCCCCTGTTCCCTGAGTTCTCCTGTGACTAGGGTTTTCTCTGTGGGAAGCTCATTGATCCTGATGCAGCCACATGTGAGACCTTGTCCTGTGCTCCGCCCCTGAGCTGACCGTGGCACTGCCTGCCCTCAGGAGGACGAGGTTGCCACATCTGTGATGACTCGGCCGGTGAACATCAGTGAGGCAGCGCTGGGTCCCGCCTGCCTCTGTGAAAACAGCTCCGTGACATCTGACTTTTTATGATCTGGCTCCAAGCCTCTCGCCCCCAAGGAAAACGGATGGTGAGAGTGGGCACAGAACTCAGCCTACCCAGGCATGTGTTGACCCTGGGGGACTCTGAAGAGAAGCGAGTCGGCGTGTTGTCCACTTCTCTCGCTCTTCTCCGCGCCTCTCTCTCCTCTCCAAAGGGGGCCCTGCCCTGCCTCTCTCCCCAAAGCCCACCTTGAACTTTCTGGATGGATTAGAACAGAAGAGGAGCATTCGGTGTCCTCAGGCTCACCAAGCAGTCTGTATTAGGCAGAGGATAAGTCAGGCTGCTCTAACGAGACACCAAATACATGAATAGAATTTTATTTTTCTCTCCCATACCAGTCTGGCTATGTTATGCTGGTTTAAGGTGCGGGGATCCTTCTATCTTACTTTTCTCCATCCCTAAAATGTTGCCTTTGATTGTGAGGTTCACCCATGGCCCCGCTGTGTTCACATTCACTCCAGCCAAAAGAGGGAAGAGTGGAAGTGTTAGTAGAGGGCACTCCCCCTCCCACGGTGGACACAACCTGGAAGTTGCACGTGTCACTTCCATTGGCTAGAGTTTACCCTCAAGGCCATGCCAAGCTGCAAGGGAGGCTGGGAAATGTAGTTTTTATTCTGAGTCCAGAGCATGTTTGGAAATTCTATTTCCAAAGGACTCCCAACTACGGACTCATGCCTGGGACATTTGACATTGATGGGAACGCCACCAGCAGGCCATGTTCTGTCATAGTGCCCCTGTCATAGTGCCCATCTGCTGAAGGTCAGAACATGCCCCGGCCATTCTGGTTATGGGCTTCCTGGAGAGGGTATCCCTCTCGCACAGTAAGACTGAGGAAATCAAGAAGGTCTGGTGGTCCCTCGGGAGAGGCATGTCAGGCATGTCTGATCTGGCCCCTGGAAGAAAAGGTTCCCCTATTCCCACCACCCCCACCTCCAGGGGTGTGGCAATGCCTTACCAGCTCTTCCAAGCTCAGACAGCAGACATGGATGTTGTCGGCATCCTTGTTTCTGCCCCAGGTGCTTCCTCTCCATGATCGAGTGAGTGCTTGTCCTTTTCCCGGAGGCCCATGTGCCAGGGGCTGCTGAAGACGATGAGAGTTACCAAGAAGGAATAAGGAGCTTTAGGGAAATCAGGGACCAAGGGGACCAGTTCTTGAGTGGGCTTGTCATTCCCCTTGCAGCGTGGTGGCAGATGGTGGCAGGAGTAGAGAGCCCGCCCTCTAGGATTTGGGCTGAGAAATAGAGAGTAGCAGGGAGCTGGCAGAGGGGCCGATAGGCTGGGAAGACACTGGGGGCCAGGTGAGCTTTGTGTAGCCTCAACTCCACCCTCCTTCATCCCTGGCCCCATTCCTTTCTGTGTCTGGCTGCCACGCTCTTCCTGGGAGCCTGTCCAGCATGCCCTTCCAATAAACTTCCATCCTATGACGCAACTGGTATGAGTCTCTTTCATGCAACCCAGACTGCTGGGCTAGAACACAGAGGATTCAACTGTTAGTGAGGATTATTCTTAGAGACCATCTGCAGGAGGTGGTGCCATTCCATGACATTTATCACAAACGACCTTCTGCTGTGTCCCTTCCTGCTCCTTGAGGCTCTGTCTGGGCGCTGCTTGCCTCTGCCGCCTGCAATGACCAGCACAGTCTTGACGCGCAGTAGGTCAGCCCTCAGTAAGCGCTTGTCTTGTCTACACTGTTGGCAAGTGAGAGGGAAAGCATGGACTAAATCCAGAGTTGGGATGGGGAGAGGGCAAGCCAAACACAGCCAGATGTCCAGGGGCTGTCTGGGGAAAAGTGGGGAGGGAAGACCACAGGTAGCCACAGACAGGAGTGGCTGCTGGGGGATTTGGGAACATCTGCCTTGGGACTCTCCATGTGTTTCTGTGTACCTTCAAGGGGACGTATGTCCATCTGGGATTGGAGAGTTCTCAGGGGGGCTAGTTGTGTCTGCTCCCAGTGGTCTGAGGCCCCCCCGCGAGACTTTTGAAATAAACTTTTAATTGAAGCATAATATACATACAGAAAAGCATATGTTGTCACAAGCATGCAGCTGAATGCCTTTTCTAAAAGCCAACACCCTTGTAAACCAGCACCCAGATCAAGAAACAGGCCATTCCCAGCACCCCAGAGTCCCCCTCACACCCCCACTCGCAACCCCCAAAGGTAACCACTATCTTGATTTCTAACATCATAGATTTTATTTGCTTGTTTTTGAACTTTATATAAATGGAATTAAACAGTGTGTACAACTTTTGGAAAACTAACCATATCCAGTAAAGCTAAAATACTCCTGCCCGATGACCCTGAAATTCCACCCCTGGATATTCACTCAAGAAGAAGGAGGGCTTATGTCCACCATGAGGAAGTCCACAGCAAGGTTATTCACAATAGCCCAAACTGGAAGCGACCCGTGCACATCAGCAGTGGAATGGCTAAACCCACTGTGCTATGTCCATGCAGTGGAGTATCGTGGCAGTGAGGACGAGTCACAACTGTATACAGCAATATGGGCAACGCTCTCAAACAGAACATCCGGTGCACAGATTGTATGATTCCATTTTTGTGACATTCAGGAACATGCAAAGCCAATCAATGGGGATAGAAGTAAAAATAGTGATTACCTATGGGAGAAAGGGATTGGAAGGGACCACAAAGCGGCTTTCAGGGGGCTGTGAATGTGCTGTTTCCTGGTCCGCGTGCGAGTTCTCTGGGTGTGTTCACTTTGTGAACTCAGTGAGCTTCTCACTTTTCAACATACGTATTATACTTCAGTAAGAAAGTTTTTAAAAATTCCCCGCCTTTTACATTGGGTATCCAGCTGATCATCTGGTTTTTTAAGCACCCCCTTCACTTTGCCAAGGGACAACCTACTCCCCTCTAAATGCACTGGGCTGTGTAGATGGCACCTTGACTTTGCCCCCCCCACATTTACATATGTGACTCTTTCCGGTACATCCAAACATCAGCCTGTCATCTCCAGATGCCACCCCGGACAGCTCTGTGGGCTGGAGTTGGAGCGCCTCCCCCGGACACTCTGTTCTGAGTCACTCCTCAGGACCAGTCCTGTTTATAGATGGTGGGTGTCGCCCATTCCAAGCACTTCAAAGGTTTAACTCTTACTGGTTTGCCTAGTTCCCAGGCCACTGCCTGACGCATCTCTGGAGAGCGACACCAGCAAGCCATTTGATGAATCATCTTTCCCGCAGTGTTATGAGGTGTGAACACCAAGCTGCTCAGTGGTATTCTAGGATCCATCTTCTGCAACTTTGGTTCAATGGCCCCATCTCCTCCTCTGCAAACTCAGAATGTAAATAAACAGCTGCTCAGAGATTTAGGCAGAAAATTCCTCTGACAGGCTTGGACACCACTCATCTGGGTTTGGGAGGTGTCACCTTTGCAAGGATGACTCCAATCCCCATGTGGCTCTTAGGCTACATGTCCCCCTCATTTTATCAGAGCGGACTGTGCCACGCCCTGTACCAGGCAGTGAATAATAAGACACATATTCCTAGACCTTACAGAGCTCAGGGTCTGGGGGGAAGAGAGAAGGAAATAACACCCTGTGAAACATGACACAAGGGACGGTAAGCTGGCTTTGGTTAAGGGACAGCCCCTGAACGAGAAGACATTGCCAGAGTAGCTCTTCGAGGGGCCCTGCCTGCTGCTCTTCCTGACGTCCACACCTCCGGGTTCAGTCTTGCTTTGGGCAGTGCAGAGGCTTTGCAGAGGGTCCGTTCTAGGGGATGCTCTGCTTTCCTGGTCCCCGGCTTGTATTGGGCTCGAGCCACCTCACAGCCATCAGTCGGGACCTGTGAGGTGGCACACTCAGCATTGTCCTGCCATTGCCTGTGACCCGTGGGCTTTCTCAGTGGCCTCTCCCATCTTCCTCTTCAGAACTGTTTCTCTTACCATGGTTAGGACTTGTGTTTTCATAATTTCCCATTTCTCAGTATCCATACTCTTTTCAGAATCTCCAGTTGTGCTCCTGGTTCGAGATGGGAGCCTAGGTCTCTCTGGCCACCCCTGTTTTCTCCCAAATCCTCCCAGCATGAGCAAAGAGATATCCAAATGGACCCTGGGCATGCAGGACGCCTTGCCCTCTGCCCCCTGGCTCACCTCGCAGGAGGATCAAGGAACTCAGTCTTGGAGCAGGGGACCTCTTTTGCCATCAGCACCCCTGATGACTCTGGTCAACCACAGGGTGAAGGGTTGAAGCCCCTCCAACCTGTCTACACTGGAGCCCTCAACATGACCAAAGTCATCATTGTCTTGTTCCTTAAGATGGAAATTCATGTGTAAATGACTTACTAAGGATGTGCTTCCGGGAGACCAGCAAAGGACATGCAAGGGGTGGAGGCTAAGGACACACACACACCAATGTTCACAGCAGCACTGTTGGTAACATCCCCAAACTGGGAAGCACCCAAATGTCCTTCACCCAAGAGTAGAATCAATGGAAAGAAAATGTGGTTAAAGTCACCCAATTGACTACCACCCAGTGAAGAATATGAATGAACTAAAGATACACACAGCAGGCTGGATACATTTCACAAACTGCGAAAACATTCACAACTCATACTCCAGACAAAGAGTTAATATCCCTTATATATAAAGAATTTCTTCAAGTAGTTAAGAGAGAAACCAACAACTCAATCGAAAAATGGGCTATAGATATGGACAGGCAACTCAGAGAAAAGGAAGCCAAGGACTGCAGAAGAGAACCTGCCCCGGGTTCCTGTTGCCTTTCTATTTAAGCTTAATTAACAAGGGGAGGATACTCATGAAAGGGGTGGTATTTTCCCAGAATCAGGGTGGCACCCTCTAAGTCTTCTACCACCTTGGTTCTAAACTGTTGGAACTAACCCTGCCTCCATCCTGTTTTTATCAGGGCAATTTGAAAGTTTGTTTTGAGACTTCCTGACTCAGGTAAGGCTGTAGCAATGCCT